CGAAGAGCTACAACAGGATCTAGAACTGAAGTTCAAGATAAACAGGTCGGAGATCACGTGCCGTGATCTTCCTCTAACTAAGCATCACGGTTCGCACCGTGACAACCTGGGTGATGTCTCCCGCACCATAGCGGGGGTTCGTTGTATTCCGCGATGGGGCAGCACCTTGAATAGGAATTGCCGGGAGAGCAACAGAGAGATACTGCAGAAGCGACTGGTTGCTCATATTGTAGTGGTGCTGCACCACACCTGGTGAATAGGACTTAGAAGCAATGGCTCCACGTGGTGGATACCTATTGGTAGCTGATCGTCGAGATAGGCAGGGGGAATGGGAATAGACAAACAAAATGGAAGGCTTGGGGGAAAAGTAACTGGATATATAGGGAACGAATCTCCAATGTTACACTTATATCTGATGGGGAAGCAATGGCGAGGGGTTAGCACGTAGGTTGATTGGTGTGATTGCACTATAGTAAGCGCTCAGTTGTGGTGCATATCTTCGCAAAAGCAGAGTGAAAGAAAGCGCTCATTGGAACGCTGGATCAGGACCATGGTCGATAGGACCTGAAGCACCCGTGTTCTCATTTAGAGTCTCAGCGGGCGCTTACATGCAGTCACTGAAACAGTCCCACTTTGAGATTCAAACCGGCGGCAATGTAGTGGATCTGATTTGCAAGATCCGGCGGTTGGGCCGCGCGCGATCCATAACTAGCAAATTATCAAAATTATTTAACTTACGTAATCCCGCTATTATTAACCGAGACCTGTCCACTTTTTGTTCTCTGGCCTGCTCCAACATCCTTGATAGAAATATGACTTCCCACAGGACGACAATGCACCTAAGAAGCGCTCCCTTGAAGAACATGGACCCCTCCAATATTAATATTATCAGGCAGATTACGTGCTCTGATTCGTCTGCAATATTCGAGGTAGATCTGGATGGACAAAAGTATGCATTGAAGCTTTTCCACGACAACGGCGACCCTGGATATACCGAAAAAGGTCGTGATTTGAACAGATTTCGCTGCGAGTTAAATGCTTACAAGAAGCTTCTGACTTCTGGTGTCTGTGCACGCGGTTTCGTGCCAAAATTCTACGGCTACATCAATCGAATGGATCCCGCAGCATTTCATCCTGCTTTACAATCTTTCGCCCAAGACAAGCTAAAGCCGAGAGCAATATTGCTAGAATATTTCCCAAGTGCAGAGAGTTTGAACTGCGTGAACTACTCGGACGCGCTCTTTCCCCAGGCAATTGAGGGTATGCATGAAATACACAAGGCGGGTGTTCACCATCAAGACATCTACCCCAAAAATCTTCTCCTTATCCGTGGAAACCCCGATAGGTTGGTCTGGATTGACTTTGATGTTGCAACGACCTTCACGGACTTTGGACCTGAACAGCTGGCCCGCTGTGCCTACGAAATTGCGCTTGTGAAGGGATTTGCGGAAGCTCTGGTATGGGTTCCGTTGCTGTCTACATTGGAATCATTTAGTGTGCTAACTAACGAATACAGAGAGATGACCAGGCTGAGGGACTCCCGCCGAATACAAAATTCTATTAGGGGTTCCATAGGCGTTTATATATTTTGACAATGTTTGGTCGCATTTACGCGTGCTTTCTTGTAACAGATATCAGTCGGGGCGGAGTTTCAAGCAAGGGCCGTTTTGCTTTATTTTACTACTTTATATACAGTAGTATTCGAATTCAGTTATACCCATGTACTCTTACGACTTGTCTCCGGAAAATCAAATCCAACACCTCGGAGCCCTGATTGGATAGGCCTTGAGACCGCTTACTAGACTAGTAGGCGTATCTTACAATACACCTGCAAGACACCAGAAGATGTATTATACACGAAAGTGCTATACGCATGCCACCTGTGCCCCTCCTCCACCTGGTGGGAACTTGGTCTCCTCGTCCACTCACTCGTTACCCGTCTGTCTCCGAGTCAAAACCCCTAATAACTTCTATGGATATGGCCTCTAGGCTCTCTATTTCGAAACTTCCTCTGATCGGTGATATGGTAGAGAGCCAGTTGTTTACCACGTCACAGATGGCCGAGGAAGCTGAATGCACGTATCTTACTATTATCAATATTATCAATATTCGGCCAGTTTGGAATAGTCTATAACCGCAATACCAGAATTGGCCCAAAAAAAAAAGGTTGTACACCACTGACGATGACAGCCCCTTGCGACCACTTGTCCGAGAAGCCTGGTCTTTATCTCGATGAGATGGCTGTCTTCATGTGGGATGAGTTAAAAACCATGATTACGACCTCCAGCATCAGAAGAGCCCTTATAGCGATAGGTTGGTCAAAAGGGTAGCATGGCAGCGCGCTGAAGAGCAGAACGCGGACTTGAGAGACTATTTATTACCTCCACAACCTGTCCGAGTTTCAGTCGTACCACCTGGTATATGTTGACGAAAATGTTACTGCATTGTGGTTGTATTGGTGAAGTGCACAGCTATCAGACGAGGGCTTGTATTAGAAGGTGTCCAAGCGGGCTCACTGTTTCATGATAGAAGTCCACAATATCATTATTGCTGGCGGATAGGCAAATATAAAATTTCAGGCTGCATTGCAGCATCTGTCGGGCAGTAAGAACGATTCTTAAGCCGAATGTTCAAGAGTCGTACTGAATTCAAACGGTGCCACCATCCTTTTCGCTTTCTTGTGCTTTGCTGAAATCCCTCGGTTCCAGCTCTCCCATTCCAGGATTTCTTCCTCTGCCCGCTTGAGCAAACAAGCTTGATTCTCAGTATGCTGCTCTAGCCTGGAAACACTCATTTCCAGCTCATCAATAAGACCTTCCAAAGATTGAGTCGATGTTCCACTTATCGATATCCTCCTTGCTAGTTTGCAGGTGACATCAATCATAAAATCACCCCCTTCTGCTATCAAGGCTCTCATACTCGACTCTGGTAGTATGGTGTATTTCAGTGCCACATATTGAGAAAGTAATTCCCGAGCTGGATCATTCGGTTTTGATTTTGGTGTTGCGCCGTACACGAGGCGTATGGCATCTGCAAGACCCAGGAAAAATGGATCCGTTGGTGTATCGCATTTGAGAAGAAGCTGCGTCAGGCGCTGTAAAGCCAGGTTCTCGAGTCTGGAGAACAAAAACTGGTGTGCAAAGCAGTAAAGCTTGCCGTGCATAAGAGCGATGTCACCAAGGCCCTCATCACAAGCACTAGGTTCCTTCATGAACGCTGCTGCGGCTGTTTGCATAGTCTCTGCTGGCAAACCAACTTGCAAACACCGACTCAAAGGTGTTAGCGGTCGTTCCGAAAGCGCTTCGTTTAAGATTTTGGAGTCAGGCACCGATGACCCCGCTTTGGTAGAGAGGAAGGCTGCTTGTGCTAAAAGGTATAGTCGTTAACAGCGAACAGAATTAAAAGGGGGACTATGGAATGTACCAATCTGATCATTGTCGTTTCTCTCTTCAATTTGTGCACCAACAAATGTTCGATCGCGCACGTCATAATCCTCAATGTATAGATAGCTCAGAGCGCATTCAACGGTTTCCTCATCGAATTCCGTCCAATCAATAGCCCCACTCGTACCATTCTTGATCCACTGGTCGTTGACACGAGCTTTCAATACCGGTGAGCCGCACGACGAAAGGACTCCAGGATGAACGTAGTAGACAGTTTTCTGAGGGCCAACAATGACCTGGATTGGGCAATCCTTGAACGTACTTTATTAACGTCAGCGCAAGAAAGTACCAAATTTGAGGGTATACCTACCTGGGGAATTGGTGAAAATTTGTACGCGATGCCATTGCTCAAGAATCCTGGAAATTCAAAGCTGATACGAAGGATCGAGAGGATGTAATGCGGTCAAGAACAATTTCATCTCCAGCGAGCAGTGTGTGTTGCTGGCGACCACTCTAAGGAGCGGTGTAGACCTAGAGTGTGATGGTCCTACGGTTCACGCTGTGGAATAGCTAAATCCTAGAAACCCCGTGACTGAAGGCAGTTGAATCGGGTGACGGTAACATTGGATTGTGTCGTCGAAAATAATGGCAGGAAAAATGTGTTGGCCTCAGAAAGTAATGAAGGAGGAAATCCACCACGCCGCACAATGATTGGCTGCACAAGGGTGTGGAACGGCCCTGTGAATCATTCAAGGGATGGTCGGTGGAGCAGTGGGAGATCATAGTCAGATGACCCGGAGAGGTCAACTCGCTAATCGGAAGTATTCTCATCCCTGGTCATGAGGGAAGAGGGAAGCTAGGTGGGGAAGCTGGCGATCTGGCCAGATCGCCAAATCTATAGAATGATCCTAGGTGGCTCCCTGTAATATTACGGTACCGTGGCAATGACTCAATGACTCATTGCTAGCAATACAATAATTACGATAACAGTTTTGCCAAAATTATGAGGCGGTGGACCAACCGGGCCTAGTGCCTGTCGGAATTAGTTTCTCCGAATCAAGATCAAAGAGTTTGGAGGTATAGCTGATTACGAAAAGTACTATAAATCGATTTATTTTAAGCACTTAAAGCTTTTGATCTATTTTTTAAACGTAAGTTAATATAAATCTTAGTAGTAGTGACTATAACTACCTCAATAAAACCAATATATAAGTAAAAAATTGTAGTTTATTCAAATAAGTTCGCATTTTATCTATCTATTTTAGGGAATCCTTTACAGAATTATGCTAGCGTAGCACTAAAACTAGTGCTACGATAGTGCTATAGCGCCAAAATTGCCTTGGTGCTGCGGGACTTGTCAAGGCCTACCAACTAAAATGACAAAATCCGCTCTTTTTCCAATCTGTGCGGACAAAGCTGACTAAACATAACATACAATTTGTGTGGGCGACACTATCATGGCGGTCCGTACGGAGTAGATTTTCCGGGTACTTTACCCTGTTTTCAACCATGGGTTTCGACATGCATCATTGTCACCCTCATACCGCGTTTCCTACAACCTGCGCCGCCACTAAACCGCAAAGGTTTGAAGCGATTCCATATGCCCTCTTCATCTGAAGTATCTCTATCTTCATCTTCTCGTCCCATTATCCCCCGCAACGACCTAGGCGACCGATCGCGCGTTCTAGAAAGCGCGTTCTTCCGAGAGTAAAGTGTTTAGTTAATGAGACGCATGTGCCTCCAGGGCTAGCAAAAGCTATACAAACACTAATCCTATATACAGAGGAATCGATCAAGCTAAAGAATTGGCTTTCCCTAAGAGCCACCATAGCCGTAAGCCCGAGCGCTACAAATCAATATCCGTGAATGTGTTATTGGCCAACTCTTCGTTCCACCTTTAATCTGCAATATATCGCTTCATCAAGTTTATACGAGAGTTTTGATTGACGGTTATTGCGGCACTCATCTGCCGACCTAATTGAGCCATGGCAAAAGAGAGAAAATACCGCGCAACCTCTTGTCTTCTTCTACTCCGACTATGGATTGGCAAGAAACTTTTTGGAGCAGTCGGGCCACATGGAGTCCGAGTCAGCACTAGCAGAATGATCAAAGGGCCTTGTACCGCGCCGGAGCTAGCTGCTTTGAAATATGTCGCTGAGCACACATCAATTCCTGTCCCCAAAGTCTTTAACTTCCACCATTACGATAATAGTCTCTACATTGAAATGGAGTATGTCCGTGGAATGAGCCTCGAGGCAGCATGGTACCACGGTCGCCTGACGCAAGACCAGAAGAAAGATATCATCACTCAGGTAGCGGGCTACATCAGCCAACTTCGGGGATTAAAACCTCCACGAGAAGGAATAGTCGCATCGGCAAGCTTCGACGAGGCCCTGGATCACCGAGTCGGGTCTTATCCTTTTGGGCCTTTCACGAGTCATGAAGGGTTCCACACATACCTTCGCGCGAACGTTCCGATTGAGGACTGCAACGAAGTAATCGGCCCGGAGGTGACTGAATGCCATACCCGTCATTATCGAAGCTGTTTTACCCACGCAGATGTTGCTCCCCGGAACATAATAGTAGATAATGGGAAGGTCTCTGCAATCGTTGATTGGCAATTTGGTGGCTGGTACCCAGAATATTGGGAGTATACTAAGGCACACTACGGGCAGATAGATCGGCCAGAGTGGTATGATGGATTGGAAAATGCTATGGAGAGATATGATGAGGAGCTTGGCGCGGAACGAACTCTGTGGAGGCGACTGGATGAGCCACAACTTCTTTGGCGTGGAAGGGAGCATCTGATTCCGAGTTTGGGAGATAGTGAGATCTGAGACGCTTAGCAATTCTATTGGATCATGCGACCACTTGTCACATACCTTGATATGACAGGATACTGATCGGGCCAGGCAGGTTTAATTTTTAATCGCTTTAGTGTGGGGTGTTGTGGGTGGATAAAGGCACCCGATTTGGACAAAGCCAAAGAATTTCATATATAAAATGCTCATCTTCTCTTCGTTTCCGACATCAGCAAGCAGTACGGAAAATATTACATAGAACTAGCCGTGTCAGGGCTTAAAGAGTCCAGTTCCAGTACCGACACCTCCTGACCCGCATGCATCAAAAGAACTATCTCAAGACGAAGTTGTTGTAGGCCATTAATTCTATTTCAATCTTAAACTGGAGATTGTGAAACGGGCCCATCGCTCTTCGGCGCTTGCTGGGCCCACGACGCAGATATACAGATGCACCCATGACCTAGGGCGAGTGCGGTACAGTGCATCTGGGAAAAAACAAGTGACTATAAGCTATAGCATTAATTTTGTGTTGGCCCATCGTTGTGTGAAGGGGCCGTGATATTATTGCCAGTAAATCTATTTGGAATGCGGTTAAGTTGGAGCAGGCAGAGTTGGTCTATTTATCATAGAACGTTCGGCGCTTAGATCAAACAACATGTATTTTAGTGTCCTGCCGCTGAAACACAGATTTTGGATATATATAGCAGCTATTGAGCTTCCATTCACACTGTCACTCTTGTCTGATATCAACTGCTTTCTCAGTCAGAGAGCTGCCTTCACAATCCATTCCCAGCCTCAGTCTACTTTCTAGACCTTCTCTCTGAATTGGCTCTAGGGTATCCAGAACATGAGCAATAAACGCCAGGTCTTCCTTTCGCTTCATCATCGCGATGCTCTCTCTATCGGTGGGAACAGGCAGCGATTCGGCCATGCGGCCTACCACTGGGGGATTGTCATTTCACCCAAAATTTCCAAGGGGCCAGATTGCTATGCTTTCGACGTAAGCGATGGAATTATACTTGATCCGGCGCGCCGAGTTAATCTCAACCAAGAAGGCAATTGGTTCTTTCGAGGAAGAGCAAACATCAATCCAGAAAAGAGCGGTCACCTTCTTGGAAGGGTTATGATTGGGAAGGTGCCCAATGAGGTTACCTACGTAGAACTCCATGGCCTTCTCGAAGCAATTCCACTTCCCCAAAAGAGTACTCTGCCGGAGCAAAACTGCGTCACTTGGACGAGAGCCGCCATTTGCAAGCTTCAGGAGAACGGTCTCGTGGAGCAATTCGACCTCGGCCGGTTCATGGACGAGTCGCTTGCTTTCGCGGATCAACGCCTGCAAAGCATCGAATCTAAGCCCGCCAGCATCAACTACACTGGTCGGCGTATGTGAATTTGTCAACGGCTAAAATTGAGACGAGAATTTCTACTGGAGCAGAGATCCTGCTACACGGAAAGATATGGTTGATGAAATTGTTGCTGTCTACCGAGAGAGAAGAGAAGATCTACAAGGAGAGTCAGAGTTTATCTCTATAGACCGGGGGCTTAATTACATACTACTGTATATGACAATAGATATCTAATCTAAGGATCCAGGTCAGTATCCTGTTTTATATTAGCGTATATAATAGACCTTGCTAACTCCCACATTTTTTCCTGTGGGAGTAGTCCTATAGGACTACATAGGACTCCCATTTTAAATAAAATACAACACATATAAGAAATATCGGATTTCTCTCCATAATTTTGTATTCTACGCATCTTATTAGAATGGATCAAGATCCTTATAACTATTGTTCCGCAAAGCCCACAAATGGGCCCGGTCCCCAGGCCTTACCCAGCCCACGGCCCATTGATAGGGCCTTATAAGTAGACTGCGACATCGCCTGTCCATAGGCACCTAGGAGGTGCCCATCGCCCGTCCACGGTGGGCGGTGGGCTATTTAGATTTTTGATTGCCCGTCTATAACGCCTACGGCCTACGGGTATACCTACCATTGTATAAAGTCACCTTAAATAGACGTATAACTCGCTGACTTTGCATAGTAAATAACTGTTATTTACACCTATTTTACAAACTATATTTAGAATCGCGGTTTTAATCTACAGTATCTATAATTTTACTAAAATAAGTAAGTATGTGAAACTAATAATATTTATAATATAACTTAAAACAAATTTTTTATCGAGATACATTATATTGTGTAGCATTTTTATTAACTTATAAATTATACTATAATAGTTTAAATATATCTTTAAGTTAGTGGTATATCCTACTATTTTCTATAAGTAAAATTGTCAGGGTGCGGGCTGGCAGGACGGTATGATAGGAGATGACTGGTAGGAACAGGTCATAACAGATCAGATTCCACTTGACAGGTACAGGCAGAGGCAGGCTATTATACAAGACGTAGCTCCCAGAGCTACAACAGGATCTAGAACTGAAGTTCAGATAAACAGGTCGGAGATCACGTGCCGTGATCTTCCTCTAACTAAGCATCACGGTTCGCACCGTGACAATACTTTACCTAGTCTCTAGGACCTAGACCTACCTCAGATTAAGAGACTCTAGATTAAGATGTAGACTTAGTTAAACTTCGAAATTTTCATCTAATAGTTAGAATCGTATAAAGCGATAGCTAGCGTCTATATAGGGAACGGAAGCGTCGGAGAGATAATAATAAATACACATATAATAAGAGGACTAAATAAAGCATTAATAATTAAATAAATGTAATAATAATGTTTTCTAGATTCCCTATTTACTATGAATAAAATACCCTAGAATTACTAGCTTTTTTATATGACTTATATATATCACGAGGTTAGTTATATTTACACTATTTATAGTGCTATAGCACCGAACTAAGGGCTTAGTGCTGCCGTAGCACTGGTGCTGCGGGACTTGTCAAGGCCTACTTCTAGGTAAGCCCTGCGAAAGCACCGATTCATGGTACTAGTTGGAAAAAATTGGCAAGACGGCGACAATGAAGGATAAAAATATTGGGCGAAAGTAGTTCTAAGAGTGAATAATGACGGTTAGGTGAAATCCACAAGAAAGAAATGGTGGAAAAAAGTGCATTTTAGAAGGAGCCTGAAACATGATGAGATGATGTGTCAGTGCATGGAACTAGAAGAGATCTACATCTTGTCGAAGGACCTACGAAAAAGCCTGCATATGATACACATGTAGCCATATGCAGGGAATATGGGTCCACCTCTTCCACACACAACTGGATTCAAAGATTCTTGTTCAACTTGCACCAGTCCCAAAAGTCCCAACCATTTCCCTAGCGGGGAAGGCTAATCAAGAGAAATTGAATTGAACTTTGGAAGACTTCTCAAATGCTCAACCCATACAATGTCTCTCTAAAAATCTGGAGATTTTTCTCAGTGGCAGAGTCTCTAATTACAAAGTGAATCTGCTCAAACCAACCCTTAAACTCTTGTTTCATGAGAACCTTGTACCAGCAGTCAGCCACTTTCTGGGTGGGATGGCAAAAGGCTCCACAACCAATGGCACCGAGGACCAAGCGGCGGTGATTATTGTTGGCTGCCGTGCGTAGAATCAATTGCATCTTGGATATCATGAGATATCGCTGGGCCGGGTCCACGTACGTGGTACCATTAGCGGTCAATCTAGGCTTGTTCCGTGTTGCCATGCTGATGACACTGACAGTGGGGTTCAGGTGTAGCTCATCGACTGCCGACATGAAGCTAAACTTGTGGTCCACGTTCTTTCGGAAAACGATCACATTGGGTGAATAGAGGGCCTCCAGATCGTCCATTGGGTAGAACCGAGTATGGAGAGTATCAATGAGTGTGCTTCGGTAGCAGATCTGTTCCTCCTGGGATCGAGCACCTCTGAGCCAGCCCCCACCGGGAGTGAAGGCATTGGCAAAATTGAGAACACATATTGGCATGGGATCGCTGGTGCTGCCGGTATCTTGCATCTCGAGGGCCCGGTCATATGTGTCACCTTGCAGGACTCTAACCACAGTGGTCAAATTTGGATATTCCTTGGAATTAGGGTCCAAGATAGGAGCGGTCCATTTGTTCGCAATATAACCAAACCGTGTTCCCTCCAATTCTGACCTGGACAGAATTTCAGTTGTGGCTTGCTTTGTTGTTGTTATCACCTTCTTCATTGCAATTTATTGAGGCTGTTTGACCCCTTTACCCTTGCATCCAAGAATACTAGGGCTCCGCTTCTTTTGAAGTACATGAGGCTGACTTCCGGGTGTAAGTGAAATTTCGGATGCAGTTTCGGGTGACGTGAGAAGGTCAGGACTCTCTGTCTGGTCATCAAGACCAGCCATTTGTATGTCTTTGGGGCTTCTGGAGCCAGATGGGAGTTTTCCAATCATGGCACCGACGAGTCCAGTGAGGCCACTACTGCTGAGACGACTGTTTCTGCTTGAGGAGGGTGATTTGTTCGCGTACTGCGAACCTACTGATTGTCTGGACTGTGTCGATCTGGAGATATTGGAGGTATTAGATTTATCGGACTGGGCAGTCATCTTCTCTTTTTGGCATGACTTTTTCTGTATTGAAGGTGATGGATATATAAAGACACAGTAGGGGAGTTGCTAGTTTGATGAAAACGAGGATTCCTGGGGCTTTCAATGGCTCCATGTTTACTCAATATTTGGCCAAGTTTAAGCCGTTCTGATTTTTACATCGTATAAACTGAAAGAATACCAGAAGACAAAGGCTTGAAACTCGAACAGCGGAAAGTCGAAGTTGAAAGAAACATCAGATCAGTCACGTGCATATTTCCGATCTGACCAATCAGAATGAATTCAAGCCTGCATAAGGCGGTGGGCTTATCTCCGATCTCGCCACCATGACAAAGCGTGCAACGCCGTTGGCTTGTCGCCTTCTTGTAGGACAATTTTAATCCTCCAAGGTCCCGATGTCTTCAATCTGATCATCCTTTAAATTTTTGAAAAAATACGCTAAATTCAGGCCCTCTCTTTCTTTTCACTCAGGGCCACCCAAAACAGTACTCCGCCACAATGAGCGCAATCCTGTCAGCAGACGATCTGAATGATTTCATTTCGCCGGGAGTCGCATGTATCAAACCAGTCGAAACCCTTCCACCAAAAGATTCAAAGAAAACGGAAGTATGTACTCTTATTAATCTCATTGGAACTATGTGAAGTTTGAGTTTGACTGATTTTCTACTTTTAGGATGCCTATGAAGTAACAACGGAAGACAAAGTGCAGCCTGAGAATCTACCCCCCGCACAGATTTCTTTGACAGACTGCCTCGCTTGCTCTGGCTGTGTTACTTCTGCCGAGGCAGTGTTGATATCACTCCAGTCTCATGCAGAGGTCCTCAATACACTTGATGCGCACCCGGAGATTCCCTTGGTGCATGAGCATCATGGGGTGACAGTGAATAACATCGAAGACTCTGGAGAGGGTAAGATCTTCGTGGCCAGTGTTAGCCCACAAGTCAGGGCCAGTCTGGCAACAATTTATGGGATCTCGGAGAAAGAAGCGGGGTATATGATCAACCAATTACTTAGTGGCCCGCAGGGCTTGCGAGGTGGGGGCAAGCACAGAAATGGGTTTACATGGGTTGTCGACACAAATGCCATGCGAGAGGCTGTACTGGTACTCACTGCAGATGAGGTTTCAGATTCGCTTAGCTCAGGAGACTCGTCAACAGCGGGCCAGTCGGATGACCCTCTGCCCAAACGCCCTATTCTATCCTCAGCATGTCCTGGATGGATATGTTACGCCGAGAAGACTCACCCTTTCATCCTTCCACATCTTTCTCGACTCAAATCGCCCCAGGCTCTGTCGGGGACATTCCTCAAAACCGTTTTGAGCAAGTCTCTCGGGGTTAATCCGTCTCGAATTTGGCATTTGGCAGTCATGCCCTGCTTTGACAAGAAGCTAGAAGCTAGTCGAGAAGAACTCACAGATGTTTCGTGGCGACAGGGAAATTCCACGGCCTCTGAAACACAGCCCGTTCGCGATGTGGACTGTGTGATCACTGCTCGTGAGCTTCTGTCTCTGGCTTCATCTCGAGGTTTCTCATTGCCAAGCCTGCCATTGCAACCTCTGCCATCCTCTTTCACCCCGCCCTTCCCTGAAAAAATCCTTGATTCTTTCCTTTCCTTCGAGCGCTCTCGGGCAAAACAATCTATTGCTACAGGTACCTCTGGAGGCTACCTACACCATATTCTAATGAATTTCCAAGCTCGCAACCCAGGCAGTGAGCTTGTGATCAACCGCGGACGGAATGTCGATGTCGTCGAGTACGTGCTCTTGTCTCAAGAGGGTCCAACAATTTTGAAAGCGGCTCGTTATTACGGCTTTCGAAATATCCAGAACCTTGTCCGGAAGCTCAAACCCGCACGTGTGTCCAGGCTTCCCGGTGCAAAACCAGCCGCTAGACCCGCCACAGGTCGCCGCCAGCCTATATCTCGTAACAACGTCACCACAAGCAGCTCAGGAGCTGATTACGCCTACGTGGAGGTCATGGCCTGTCCTGGTGGGTGCACGAATGGCGGCGGCCAGATCCGAGTCGAGGACGCCAAAGAAGCCATCGGTTCTTCGCAAGGAATGGCCCTAGACGCGTCTATGAAGCCATCACCACACGAGCAGCGCGCGTGGCTTGCTCGCGTTGACGAGGCTTATTTCTCCATGGAATCAGAGTCTGAATCTGAACTGGATACTCAGTCCCAAAAGTCTTCATTGGCTGACAAAGACGCTAAAATTCATCAAGGCTTACGGCACTGGTCAGAATACATGAATATCCCCCTCTCTAAGCTCGTTTATACTACCTACCGCCAGGTAGAAAGTGATGTTGGCAAGGATCAAACACCTGCTAATGATACAAGCCGGGTCGTGGAGCTTGCGGGGAAGATTGGTGGTGGTTGGTAACTTTTGTCTGCTTCATATCGCTATTACAAGATCTACCATTGCAGTGGTCTTAATTGGTAATCTCTTCATTGCTTCATTTGCATGGCGCCGGGATCTGAGTTTTCTTGCATTTTCCTGGGGGATACACCATTTTCATTTCTAATGTCACGGTCAATGATATTTGATGTGCTGAATGACTTTAATCTTATGACATGATAGATGCACAGAAAAGTTCGAATACGTATAGATACAATCAATGATATTAATGAAGCTGTTCAAATATCTAACTCCATAAAGTAGGCTTTGCGCAGAGGACTCTTTTGTACTTCAAGCCCGCCTGGGCCTGAATGTGATGACTAATCTATACATGTGCTTCCATTGATGACTAAGCACCTAAAATCCCGCGCTCCAGAAAGAAAAAGAATCGGAGTATCTCAGTCTTGGAAGCTAGTTTCGACCTCACAACCCTCATCCTTCTACCGGACACGATCAAATCACGCGCAACATAATCACTTTACTACCACGCTACTCTCAACCCAAAAGATGTCTCGCGAAACCTACCAGGTCCCCTCGATGGGCACCCAGAACAACTTCGATACCCAGGCCGGAGGTTTCGGCAACGGCATGGCCATCGACAGCCCCTCGGTCACCTACCTGTGCGGCGAATGCTCTGCCCGTGTTCCTCTGAAGCGCGGCGACCAGATTCGTTGCAAGGATTGCGGTCACCGTGTGCTGTACAAGGAGCGGACCAAGCGGTAAGGTTTTCTTTCCGGGAAATTACCATGCGATATGCGCGAGACCTAAGCTGACTTCTTTTTTTCTTTCTTCATAATAGTATGGTCCAGTTCCAGGCTCGTTAGACGCCTCATTTGCCCAAAAAGTAATCAGTCGTTTGGAGGTTGCAAGGGATCAAGCGGAATCGGCCTGAGATCCTTCTTTGGGCTGGAAGTCTTAATTTTTTGACGAATTATGCATACAATGGCGCTTTTGGAGTTGAATTATACAAACCAGCTTTTCTATGGTCTCGGTGTACAAAAACCACGTACAATGTTCTGGCCATGTCCTTTGGTCCTAGTCCAAGCCAAGTCTGGACTTGTGAGGACAGGCTTCAGCTCTCTTTTTTTCTTACAAAAAAACCCCCCCAGATTCGGTTTCAGAGAATCAAACGCATTTGCTCATGGACCCTAGATCTTCAGATATTTAAGCGTACATCAGTGCACTCATCAGAACAGGTGAAACATGCATAACCCAAGACCCGAAAGAAAAACCCATAAAAATATTAAATCCAAACCTACGAAACTATTTTCACAAGATACTACTTTAGAGCTGGTTAGTTACTTCAATGAATTGCTCCAAATTCTTCAGGGACTGCCCGCTCTCGATTGCCCAGCGTGCGCGACGCACGCCTTCTTTCCAGCGGCCACCGCCGGGGCCACGCTCGGTGATGACCTGGCCATCATCGCCAGGTCCCATGTTGCTGGTATCGGCCTCGCAAATGCCTGAGGTGACAAGTAGACCAGCCACATTCATAAGAACAAACTCCAAGATTGGATCATCACGTGGGAGCTCATTCCGAAGTATGCTCATCAGCTTTGCTGCGTTTTGCTTGGGCATTTTACCTCCGCCAACATCACTAAGAGGATGACTAGAGAGTCCAAAGTCCGATGCCTCAAGCTGGAAGGTGTCGACCTTGACGAGTGTGCGAGGATTGTTGATATCATCTTCACTTGAGTCATCACCAACCTCTTCTGATGCTTTGTATGCAGGGTTCGGGCACTCAGAGAGCCTCCAGCAGTTTGTCTTTCCAGCGCAGCTGATTTCGTCCATGTCCTCTGCGCCACAAACGATCATGGCTTTCTTTGCTCCACTTTGTCTGAAAGCCTCGGCAAATACTGGACCAAGGCTCTGATATGCCACGCCAACTACACGTGCTTCCAGTGCCCAGTCAACAGGATTTGCAAGGGGGCCCATCAAGTTAAAAATCGTTCGGAGGCCAAGACCTCTGCGGACAGGATTGGAGTGCATCATTCCAGGGTGGAAATTCGGGGCAAACAAGAACGAATAGTTGGTTTTCTCGTAGACCTGGTACAGATTCTCTGCGGTGATTGCTGCGATCTTGGGTGCCAACGGCTGGATGGCATTGAGGACGTCGGCGGCCCCAGAAGTCGATGTTTGAGCGCGGTTGCCATGTTTAGCTGTCATGAGAAGAGGAGATGCAACGATTGAAGATGTCGTGGAAATGTTAAAGGTCGAATGAGAATCTCCTCCGGTTCCAACAATATCACACTATACAATAAAGCCTGTCAATATGACTCAATGACACAATGGAGGGGATGTGCATACCAATCCACCCTCATAATTTCCAGCTCTCAGATTACGAGACTTGATAATCTTGATAAGTGGACCTTTCTCAATTTGGCAAGCAGCCTCTCGCATGCATTCAGAACATTTCGCAATCACATCCGCCTCTCTGTCCTTGCCGGTTGAGTGGAGCAATGTGAGGAGTGCGGCGGTCTGAATATGAGATAGACGGTTCTCGAAGATGAGCGCAAAGGCAGAAGCAATCTCGTCTGCACTCACGGCGGGGAGATCTTGTGCGCTGACTCGAATGCCGGCAGCTGCGGGGTAGGCGAGTCGCTGGAGGAGCGGGGCGATCGAAATGGGCTCAAGCCGCTGAGAAGGAGATGAGATAGGTGTCGCCATCCTTGAAATCTTTGTAAGCGACTGTATATTCACAAGATCCCAGCAATCCCAATGGGGTTTCACAAGCTTAAAAGATACCTGCAATTGTAACTTCTCAAGTGACTCAAAGAGAGCCCGATGTAGGCGGCAAAACAACTCACCGCCTTCAGAGCACTATACCATTTTAGGACCCTAAAAATATCATTTGCATTTCCGGGGACTCGTCTTGACCCGTCTTGACCTGTGCATATCACCTTTTTTGAATTGGTTTGGGCATTGGTAAATATACCATCTAAACAAAACAAAAATTTCACAATGCCGCCTCGGTTAAGATTCTCGTCGCTTCAACAAATTCCTCGATACCAAAATGAATTCCGAATTATCAGGAGCGCATCCAGCGCTGCGGCCCCGGCAGTTACGCCAGCTGCTTCAATTGAGCAGATGACACGCTCACCAGCTCCCGTATCAAGATTTCCTCCTACTCAGCCACCTTCGCACCGCAATCCAGAATACCGTCGGTCGCAGCTCCTACGGTCCTACACCTCCCTTCTCCGCACATCTCCTCTCATCGTGCTGTTCCAACACAACAACCTCAAGTCCATGGAATGGGCCGCCATCCGACGAGAATTAACCATTGCCCTGCAGAAAGTGGATGAGAAGATTGCCGCCGAAGGCCGGACGGCGCCTGACCTCGCTCCTTACATTAAGATCCAGACCATCCAGACCAGCATCTTCGAGGTGGCTCTGCGTATTGTCGAGTACTTCCGCCCCAACAAGGCTTCCCTGGGCTCGGGAAAGCCTCCAAGTGCAATTGATCCCGTGACACAAACCTCTGCCGAGCTCCCTGCGATCTCCGGCTCGAAGGATGACCCGGCCTTGACACACGACCTGTCTCGCACTGCCCACGAAGCAGTGAAGAACATGAAGGGCATGCACGAGCTTTCTCCTCTGCTAGTCGGCCCTGTTGCTGTCCTTTCCATCCCTGCCGTCTCGCCTGAACACATGAAAGCAGCGCTGTCAATCCTCGCCCCCAAGGAATCCGGCTTCAAGGCCCCTACCCGCAAGGCAAACCCGGAATACCACGAGCCCATTGTTCAGAACGGTCTCCAGAAGATTAACTTGCTGGCTGCTCGTGTGGACAACCAGGTGTTTGATATCGATCAGACCAAGTGGGTCGGTAGCATCGAGGGTGGCATGGACGGTCTTCGCTCCCAGCTTGTCACTGCCTTGCAGAGCATGAGCTCCAGCGTTGCAACTACTCTGGAGGGAGCTGGCAAGAGCATTTACTTCACCTTAGAGAGCCGCCGGAGTGTTTTGGAAGAAGAAGAGAAGGGACCGGAGGGCGACAAGAGCGAATCGTCTTAATCTGGTCTTGGTCATTCTGACTCATTTTCCTGTATAATAGATCATATTCTGCGTTTCGTCCTCAAGACACCTACTTTCTACATCAGGATCAATGTATACTTGCAAGAAATCAACCTTGATACACCGTATATCAAGTCTAACCTACGAATCGTTGCGTTCGCATTTCCTAGACCGGAGGCAAAAATGCAGACCGCACCTAAAAGACAAGTTTCGTCCCGGTGTATGTCCACCAAGTTCCTCATCTAGTTCTGTCTCAAACGCAGTTTAGCATTCATGCCCACAATGCAGCGCACAAGATCCCAATCTCCATTCAAACCAACCCAGTCCGTAACAAGAATGCCCGTCGAGCAGTCCGCATCATGCTCTTTACCTCGGCGACAGATATAATCCACGATGGCCGGGTTAACCTTAGCGGCAATCTTCTCCGGCCAAGTATCCGTCTTCCAGAAATTACTAGCACTCAAGAAATTGATGTAAAAGGGGAAAGCCTTGGTCGCATGCATGTCAGGCTGAACACCGAACGGATAGCGACAACAGCTAGCCCGGTCAATCTGCTCCGAGACGAATTTGATCTTTTTCTCGATATTCAAACTTTCCAGCACCTCATAGAAATCCTGAATGCAGAGCTGGCCACTGGGACACTTAGCGATGGGAGTATTTTCCGCCCACGTAGCCGCATCAATGCCCCAGCCATGACCACCATGTTCCTTCGTCAGCTTCTGCTGCAAGTCAAACCGACGCATCAGAATAACCTTGCCACGCGCCTCGCCCAGAGTCGGGATCTTGGGCCGCACCCACCACCGACTACCAGCCTTAGCATAGTGGTCGTGCAGGATACAAGAGAGCTGCTCGTCAGTCGCGTTACCGGTTCCCTCCCGCTTGACAGAGACGATCAGCGTCTCGGACGGATTGCGCTCGAGGAACTCGTCCACTTCACGCATCAGGTCGCGGAAGTACTTGCTTCCTGTCAGTGAGACGGGAAACACGCTGTGTACGAGGATCAGCTCGTCGCGCGTCACGTCGTCGGGGTACTGTGGTTGCACGCGGATATCGAAGAACCGTACGCCGTTTTCGAGTTGCTTTTTCGGGCTCACGGCCTGGCAGCGCACAGAGGGAGGCGCGATGTGGCATGTGGGTGAGTTATGCGTGCCTGGGATTGAAAGGGCGGATAAGAGGGTGTCGTCACGGAGCTCACGCATCCAGGCGTTTAGGTTCGCGGAGGAGAAGATTGCCAGGAAGGATTCTGGCACCACGAAGACGCCCGTGAAGCGGTGTTTGGGGTTCTCGCTTAGAGCTTTCATTCCTGCGGACTCTGCTGTCGGGACAGGGACTTGAATCTGGTATTTCTGGCCTTCAGTCTCGAAGATTAGACGCATGCGCTCCTTGTCAGAATGGATGAAGGAGCGTAGCTCGGTCTTCTTCGTTGCGAATGGCTCCACGTGAATGTCAACATCCTTCCCTTCGAAATGATGGCTGTCCTGCTCAATGGACGCAACCTCATCGTTGCGGGTTTTGTTGGTCAAGACCTGTGTGATGTTCCTGGCCATTGTGCTGAAGGCATTGAACCCATCCTTCTCCGGGGCCTGGAAACGCTCAATGCGCTTCAGGACGATTGGAGTGGAAGTGTTGTTGCGGATAGTGAGGTGTTCGGCAACCATGGTGAGTTTGCAATTTAGAGAATTGAAATTGAAGATCAGCGTGAGTCCCTGTGCGAAAAAAAAAAATATCTCTAGATGGATCGAAATCAGCTGGCTGGAGAGCTGAGATCGAAGTGGGTGGCCCCTCCACTGGGGATCAGCGGGGGATCTCCGATAGGGGCCCCCTTGTTCTTGGCGCGTGAAGCTGATTCGCGAGGATATCTCGATTGCGAGACAGAGCGGAGATCTTCAAGATCTCTATGGAGCACAGAGTGCGGTGTATGATGCAGGCAACTAGTGTCGCGGCTAACTCGGCCCCAGCGATCTGGGCCTAGTTTAACCTTACTGCGTACATCGGATAAATCGTACACGGCATTCAATTTATTGCTTGCTTGAATGGAAGCCATCCTGTTTAGATAGCTTTTACCGTGAGAGGAAAAGTTGAAAGTAGTTAAATTTTTTATGGACCTTAAGACAATTCTAAGTTGAGGTCATTAACTTGATAACCTTGGTCTGGTTAATCCATCCCATGGATCTGGCTTCATCAAGAAATATAGTATATTTTGACTACATACCCGGACAGCACATACATTTATGTAGTTATTGAACCATTGGGAGATCTCTGGGTTTTCTATCAGAGAACTTGTTAATCCAAAAGGCTGCACCGCTAGTAGGGAACCTTCGGGTGGAAGTAGTCCATGATGAACTCCACCTGCTTAAGCTTCCACATTTTTGAACTGGTAACCGAGTTTCATGACAACCTGTATGAAATCAGCACTGTTGGGGATCCAATGCAGCAATGAGTTGTTACCATTGTAGGAGCTGCCATTGCTGGGATTGAGGGTCTTCGCAAATTTGACTCAGTAGAGCAACATTTTCTCCTGGATCTCACAGTCGATCTTGGCGAATACATACGTGTCATAGTTGGCGTAGAGAGCGACGAGCGCATACAGGATTTCAGATCGGTGGAAGGCACCTCAGTTCCGGCTTCGGGACGCATGAGTCCAGTAGTGCGTGTAGAAGCTCCCAGTGGCGAGCTTTTATCAACCAGTGGCATAGGCCACGAGCCGAAAAGAGAAAGATCACGGGTAGCAGCGTTAAGGTCCTAGAAGGCATTAACGATGTTACTGTGATCGGACTAGAGCTTGAAGTAGTTGCCGTACTTGAGTCCACAATATTACAGTACCCATACTCACCAGCGGTGTAGTCGGTGCTAGTAGAGGCACCGGATTTGTCCCTAGTGTCATCTTTAAGCACGGTCACGTTATTGGCTGAGCCACTGACCAGGGATTTGATGTACTTAGATGGGATGCAAGCACGGAGTTGTTTGGAACAGGCTTGGAGATCAGAGAGACTTGAGAAGAGCTGAAAGACTCACCAGAAACAGTGATGTGGTAGGATCACCACCAAGTTTGGCTATTTTCTTCTGCACCCAATAGGAAATTTCCTATTGGGCCCGTTGCTGAAGCCGAAACAATCTTAATGTTGAAAGCTGAGGCACTAGGACAGGTAGGTCCAAAGCCCGTGGCCTTCAAGATCTTGTTCCAAGACTCGCTGGGCTACGTTGCATTCCACCGATTCCGAAAACCTGTATCGGCAGCAAAAGATGTGCCCAAGAAAGAGGTGACTTTGGACTCGACACCATTGAAGTCCTTATCCAGAGTGGACTGGTTTAAGAATTGGAACATCTCGACGGGGCCGTAGGAGGTTGGAGTGGCCTTGTCCCAGAGCTGGGCTTGGGCGAGAGCAGTACCAGGGCCAGTGAGGCCCAATTCTTGATCAGCGGAGCCACAATTTCCGGATCCCCGCGAAAAAGGATCTTGAAGCACAAAGCTAGGAGTCGAGGACTTGTATAGTGGATTTCGGGCCTCGCAGGGTCGGCCTCGGTTTCTTTACTAATTCAAGGCTGTGAAGATCATTTTGATATCATCTCCACCTCTGACACGTGCAAACATTTCGGGCAGGTTCCGAAATTCTCTTGTTCCTTGCAGACTTAAAGCGGATGTTTGCAATGGAACATTGGGAATGAGCTCAGTGGTAATGACCGAAGACCGAACTCGAATTCAGGTTCGGGTTCTGATATTCACGATGGAAACACCCTTGTGTATAATCATCAGACATGGGCTAAAGCCCAAGCACTGGCATTGCAATCCTACATTTATGTAAGTCCAATTTAGGGTGGTGTAGCAGCGTTATAGGTGGAGATCTGAAGGCTGTGGTGGTGCCTGCATGTAACGGGATAGACAGCAGTTGACCTGGGGAATCACAGATCTACATCATTGCACCTATATTAATATACCAAGAGTGTCTCAGTGCATTGAATGCAACCTGATCTGATAGGGAATACGCTCCTTCACTTGGTGCGGAAAAAAGACTGATAGGAGAATGATCACAAGCTGGACTCTTTGCCAGTCAAGCCAAAGAAAAGGTGAATAATAAAAAGATGATCCGTATCCCAACTACTCCTGGCACAGGATCGAAACCATGACCAGTTTCGCCATAACTGGGCTTCCCAATGCGGTTTCACCCGTGGCCATTGTTTCGCCCAGTAATCAGATGGCCTTGTGTCTCTCACCCACTCAGCCACCCAGGGGGGATTCTGGCTAACTACCTTGGCCTATGGTTAAATGGACCGAACTTCCGTGTTTGTACCATAGAAAATTTACCACCAATTACCTCCACTGATAGTATACAAGTGCCCTTTTCGCTCTATTCCTTAGTCTATTCATCGTACGTTGCCCAACTGTCCATGTATAACCTGTATAATATGTGGTTGCTTGACACTCCCCAACAGACACTCTGTAAAGGATCCAGCCAGCAAGATTTGCATAGCTATGTGAAATAAAGACAAAGAAATGAGACCATAATGTCAGGGCCATACTTCTCCATACTTGTATAGATGCGGGTGATCACGTGGTTAGCGTCGGTTAGCGTCGGCGTGCGGGCAGAACAGTCGATGCTCGAGGACCAGATAAACAGACACAATGCTCCTTTTCTCTTCAGTGATTTCAAACAAGGCCTTTGAATTTGTCTTTAACACCTTCTTCTTTTTATCATGAGTTTCAGCCGCAGCGGGGGGCTCACTGCCCGCAACTTCAGGCCTTGTCTACCCCAGAATCGCCTCCGCATTCGCTCCACCCTACCTCCGCTCTTGTCCCGGAAATTCCACGCCAGCTCTCTGTTATGGGGAATTAAATCACAAATCCTCAAGGATGTCGGCGAGGGTATTTTATAGCTAGTCCCTACCTCATCTCTGAATTTGTTCGCTTATCATCACCAGGCATTACCGAGGTCCAGATCATTCAATGGTACGTGGAAGAGGGGGCTCATGTTGAGGAATGGAAGCCTTTGTGCCAATATCAGTCGGATAAAGCTGTTGATGATGTAAGTGCTGCCTCCTATGTTTCCCTTTTATGGATTCATGGCTAACAGACCCAGATTACTTCGAGATATGAGGGCGTTGTCAAAAAACTCCACTTCGAGACAGATGATACAGTGCCTACGGGAAGGGTTTGTACTACCTTAGCTCTTGACACTCACCCTGGAATTATCACATTAACAGGCTTCAGTAGGCACTTTGCGACATCGAAGTTGCGGATGGGAAATACCCCGATGATAACCCGCCGCACGAATCAAGGGCAGCGCCGTCTGAATCTACTCCAGCCTCTGAGACCATACCTGTAATCCAGGCAGCCGAGTCCTCTCTAACACCTCCACCTTCTATCAAAGTTCTAGATGAGACACCCAAGACAAAGCATGCATCCCTTGCAGTACCCGCCGTACGCGGGCTGTTGAAGAGCCACGGCGTGAACATCCTCGAAATCAACGGAACCGGCAAAGACGGGCGGGTAATGAAAGAAGACGTGCTGCATTTTGTAGCAAATAAAGATTCTCAAGTTCCAACCTTAGTGCCTGCCCCCGTGTCCGCGTCACCAGACACACGACAAGCAGAGTCAATTGTCAACCTGACCCCGATCCAATCCCAGATGTTCAAGACAATGACCAAATCCCTGAGCACCCCACATTTCTTATATGCGGACGAACTCAAAGTCAACGATATCACTGCGATCCGCAAGAAACTCGCCAGCGATAAACGCAATCCTACCAAAATCACCTTCCTTCCCTTCGTCGTCAAGGCGGTCTCACAAGCTTTGACCGAGTTCCCAATCCTTAACTCGAGACTCGATACCACAGACCCCACAAAGCCAAAACTAGTCATGCGCACCAAGCACAATATCGGAATTGCTATGGATACGCCGAGTGGCCTGATTGTTCCGAACATCAAGGATGTTGCCGGCCGCTCGATCTACGACATTGCCGCCGAGATCGCGCGGCTGAGTGCCCTTGGTGATGCCGGCAAGTTGACGCCCGCTGATCTTAGTGGTGGCACTATCACCGTGTCAAATATTGGCAATATCGGGGGCACCTATGTAGCTCCGGTGATTTTGCCGACGGAGGTAGCCATTCTTGGCGTGGGTAGGTCTAGAGCGGTACCGGTCTTTAATGAGGATGGACAGGTTACACGCGGGAATATGGTTAACTTCAGTTGGAGCGCGGACCACCGGGTCATTGACGGTGCGACAATGGCGAGGATGGGTAACAGAGTCAAGGACCTAATTGAGTCGCCCGAGCTTATGCTTTTAAATCTTAGGTGAATCAGACAAGTCGTTTCATGGTGAGCTTTTTAGTTAGGTCTAGATGAGGGATACATTCTAAGACATGACACACACACACACACACACACACACTTACCTCGTCAACTCTAATCTATCAAACATTGAACTTCTTAGTATATTGCATATTGCATAGAGAAACGAAAAGATGAAAAACGATCTCAACAGGTCAATTGATATGAGCAACTTTCACCAGAGGTAAGGACATTGCAAAGTCTGCCAATTCAGACAGTTGATATATCAAAACAGCATAAACTAAAAATTTACGGTGCGGGCTTCAAGAACGCCAGATCTAAAACAGACCGGTGATATAGCCAAGCCGGCCAGAACACCAAACACCGTTAGGAGGAATCACACAATCAAAAACAGAACCAAAATGCTAACCAATCCTCCATGCATAGACCAGACCCGATTTTCGCACGGCAATGACACATCACCAATATCAAGTACACAAAGTGAACGGACTCTCATCAATCTATAGAAAGAGACGAGAAAAGAAAATCACTTGTACTCAGCAAGCTTCTCAACAACGGCATCGATAACATTGCGCTGTACCTCTTCCATCGTCCCCTCAACGTCGATAGTAAGAACATCCCACTCGCCCTCCGGCTCCTCCAGCGTAGCAAGCTGCGAATGCACCATACCGCTCTTCATGTAGTGAGATTCGCGCTGTGTGACACGCTGCATCAGTACCTCCTCATTGAGCTTGAGGTAGACAAAGTGAATCTGCACCGAGGGCGAGCCGTACGCGGCAACGCGCATCACATCCCGGTACTTCTGCTTCAGCGCGGAGCAGGCTACTACCACACCAGTGGGTGGGTGGAAATCGTTGGCTTCTGAGGGGGAGAGCGCATTGATTGCCGCATGACGCAGGGAGATCAGCCAGTCCCAGCGGTCCTCGTCTGTGAGTGGGATGCCTCGGCCCATTTTGTCTTTGTTTGCTGCAGGGTGATACTGGGAGTTTGTTAGTTATTTTGGTGTAGATCCTTGGGGGAAATTTCCGAGCGTTGTTGGGTTTGGGCATCAGTGGCATTGGGGGTCGGATGTCTGATGCCTTCCAGCGGGGGACTTACGTCGTCGCCTTCTAAGAATGGTATCCCGAGTTCGGTGCGTAGGACATTGCCGACAGTGCTCTTCCCGCACCCTGCTGGACCAGTCACGACCCAGATATGTTGCATTTGCGCGGGTTCGGAGGGTGTGGAGCATGTTACTCCGTTCGTTTCGTTGGCGGCGAGGTCCGGCATGATGCGCGCCTTGCTCACGGTAGACTCTAAGGTGGAGGCAAAAGGAGGCTGAGGTCGTTCCCCTGCGGAAAGCATGTTGTAGGAAAGAAAAGTGTTTGGATTCGAGTTTTGGGGGGGGGGGGGGGGGA